ATCCCTTTATTGGTATTGGCTTTACTTTCATAATTATGGATGCATATGCATTTGTTGCAAGTGTATGCCTATGGGAGTTGATCCCTTGTGTCTCCTTATGTCCTTTAGTTCAAAACAGTTTCAGCAAAACATTCATAAAAGCTTCTCTGGTTTGAGGGTTCATGGGAGAGACTAGGTGTTTCCCAAAGTATGTACTCTTTCATCATAAATAGCAGAAAAGGAAGAGGAGTCAGCATGGAGGATCAACTTGACATTTCAAAAATATTGTAAATCTTGGCCGGAATAGTAATTCATATTAGCATATATTCTTTCCCACAAATTGAGGTAAAAGTTTTCGAAATGCACATTGGCTAATAATCTATAAATGTGGAAGTTCTGTAATATTTCTGCTTATGTTTCTTTTTCAGCGAAGTCACTCAGGGAAAATAAAGATAATTTGAAAGTCTATAAATGTTCTGACAGTTTTTAATGTGTCTTGAATTGTGGCAGAACACAAATTTTTTTAACAATTGACACTTACAATAGTGAACAATGTTAGTGTATATTTATGAATCTGTTCTTCTCCAAACCATTTAAGAGAGGAAAGGCCTGTGTTGTGGACTGACATGATGTTTTCTCTGAAGCACAAATTACATGAAGTCATTTTGCTTTGAGTGAATAAAGCGAGGAGATTAGCAGCATTACATCATTGACTAGATGAAGGTGCTCAGAGAATGAATTGTTCACTCTAGAAACAAAGAGATTCACAGAGTCTCTGAGATGGGTGTTCATCTTCCTCTCCTTAAACAAGGATCTGCATAGAACTCAATTTGTTTCTTGTCCTGACAGTACTGTGAGGATCCAAATGTAAGAAAATCAACAGATATTGGTGAGAGAAGATGATTTCAACACAATCACTCTTTGCTACCATATCCCCAGGGTCAGAGTATCTACAGTGTTCTGATGGTGGGATTAAAGAAGCAGGCAGTGGTGTAAGAATCTTATTATATTCTTTAATATGTCAGGACAAAGGAAAACATCTACAAAATGTTTCTATTCCAGGAGATATCTCAAAATTCACTACTAGCATTTTTATGAATAAATGAAGATTTCTATAATAATATTAAGAACTGTAGTTCTTTATAGATGTGCCTCAGTATTTTAAAATATATTTTCAGAGACTTCAGTGTCACCTTGGAAAAGAAGCTATGGAGAAGCGTCAGGACACTCTTGCAAAGATCAGTTTCTGTGCCATGAAGATAACTGCAAGTGTAAAAGAGAACATGTTCATTCTATCAAACATAAGATGTCAGTAGTGAGAGTGGGTTATTATTGATACATTATATGTAATACAGGAATAAAATTAATAATTTTCTGTAGTATGGAACTTGGAGATTGTGCAAAAAAATAGTCCCTATTAAGTTGCAGTGTAGGAGATAGATGGAATTCTAAGTGTTTAAAAATAATGTGGAATAACAATTAGGCTTTATAATAGCTACAAATTTACATCATACAAAATTTATATTCTCCATTTTGGAAGAAATTAGTTGACCTGTCATATTTCATTATTTCTTTTCTATAATTTATGAGAATTAAAAGCATGCAAAATACTTATGAAAGACCCAGTATGTGAGCATAACCATCAGAAGACCCTAAACAAATAGACAGATTGATCCATAATTAAATAATAATGTGAAACATCATCAATTTGCTATGACTTGTTTAATCAAAGTATATAATACTATAAAATTTAAACAAGGCTATCAATGTTGTATTATATTCTGGATGACTTCAGATAAATTAGATTTCTGATATGCAGTATAGAACTTATTTTGACATCATGGAAAAACAGAATGTCACAGAATTTGTTTTCACAGGACTGTTTGAAAGTAAGAAAACAGAACTACTGCTCTTTTTCTTGTTCCTACTTTGCTATGTGGCAGTGTTAATGGGAAACAGCATCATCTTACTCACGATCTGCTGCAGCCATCTCCTGGAACAGCCAATGTACTACTTCCTCTGCCACCTGTCCCTCATGGACCTCTGCTCTACCTCCATTGTAGTTCCCCAGCTAACCAGAAACTTGGCTGCCACAAGAAGAGACATTTCCTTCAACAACTGCATGACACAACTCTTCACTTACCACTGGTTGGCAGGTGTGGAAACTTTTATCTTGGTGTGCATGGCTTTTGACCATTATGTGGCCATTGTCAAACCACTGCATTACATGATGATCATGAACCGGAAGAGGTGTCACATGCTGATTGCCATGGCCTGGGGACTCGGTTTTTGGCATTCTATTGCTATGTTGCTCATGGTCCTCAATTTGCCTTTCTGTGGCCCTAATGTGATTGATCATTACATGTGTGATATTAAACCCCTTTTAAAACTTGTTTGCAAAGATATCCGTATTTCTAGTATCTTAGTGATTGCTAACTCTGGGACTGTAGCAATTGCCATATTTTCTGTGCTCTTAGCTTCATATATACTCATTTTATATAATCTCAGGATGAGATCCTCCGCAGGACGTCACAAAGCTCTCTCCACCTGTAGCTCTCACATAATGGTTGTAGTTCTGTTCTTTGTGCCATGTATTTATATCTATATCTTCCCTGCAGGTGCTAAAAATAAGGATAAGGAAATCTCTGTGTTTTACACTGTGATTGCCCCCATGCTAAATCCTCTCATCTATACTCTGAGGAACAAAGAGATGAAAATTGCTATGGGGAAGGTCTGGAGGCAAATGTCACATTCATGATTAAGATAAAGAAGGAGTTCTTTATTATACTCTCACCCTCTGTTCCCAGGATGGTTTTAAGTAGAGATATCATAGCAAAGAAATATAGAAGCATTCTGTTTTAATTGTTATTGCAATGGTGATGTATAAAGGGGTTGCAGTTACATAAGTCAGGTGGTGAGTCCGTTTCTCTTTGGACAGTGTCACCTTTTCCCTCATTTCTCCCTGTTTTTCTCTCCCTACTCTCCTTCTGCACAAATTGTATAGTTAGTTTTCAACATAGTAACTAGTGAGTTTCACTGATGCCATTGTTCACCCTTTGTCCTACCATTTCTGTGCTCTGCCTTATCCTCTCCAAAACACATTAACTTACATTCAAGACAAAAGTTACAGAAAGCAAAAACTGTGCCCAAGGATAAAAATAGGAAGAACAATAACATGAAATTTTTTGTTTCCATTTCTTGGTGTTCATGTCAATAAACCTCATTTTATACGATCAGATGTCTACAGCTGATGAGCCTTTCTGATCAGTTCCTAAGAATATCCGCTTTTGTTCTCACTGTGAGAATGTCTAGGGTCTTGTATAATTTATCATGTCCAGATTAAAGCTCCTAGCACAACCATGTTCATGGCAATAATGTTTACCATATCCAGTCTATGGAATCAACCTTGATGCTTCTCAACAGATCAATGGATCAAGATGTGCTTTATATACACAATGGAATTCTATGCTTCCATCAGAAGAATGACATCTCCCCGTTTGTAAGGAAATGGAAAGATGGAAAAATTATATTAAACAAATTAAGCCAGACCAAGGGGAGAAACTTAAGTTGCATGGTTTCAAAAGTGCATATAAATCAACAAGTAAACACACTACATAGTAAAAGGCAAAAAGCTGCACCCTTTCGGGATTTTGACCAATGTTATGGGCTAAATATCTAATGTTACAAGTCTGAATCAGGGTCCTGTTATATAGGTTGAAATTTTGAGGTGCTGGGGACAAGGGCAACTGTTAACTGAGTTTTTTCTCTCTAAATTGTGAAAGTATGTTCTAATTCTATATTTCATTTATATAACATCAATGAAATGAGGTATCAATGAGTTCCTTCCTTCCTTTCTTCCTTCCTTCCTTCCCTCCATCCCTCTCACTCTCTCTACTCATTTTATGAGGCAAGATCTTGGAATAGACCCAGGTTATCATAAAACTCAGGATTATTCTGCTTTGTCCTCTTGCTGGAATTGCAGGTGACCACATTCACATTGCAAAATATTGTTCTGGCAAAAATGTATGACCATTTAGTGGAGAACACTTGGAAGTAGACAGAAGGTGATGTGGGGAACTTTTCCTCCTGTGTTTCTCACTGCTAGGTCATTCTCTGCAGTTTCTCCCATGTTTGGGACTTGGTTCTGTCTCTCAAACACAGGATGTTTCTGCTTCTGTGCTTCAAAGTACATAAATCACATTTTTGCAAATACTTACTGGAATATTCTTCAGGAATATTTTGAATTCTCATCAAAGAACCAATTCTTTCTTCTTATAATGAAATTCCTCTATGTAATTAGTCATAAACTACAGAATCAAAGTGGACTGAGTCAGAAAATGATACATGCTATTTCTATTTTTTTTCTATTTTTTTTACCTGTTTTGACTGTGCTACAGATTACTTAGTAAATAAACAATTCTCGAAATGCACTGAAAAGTATTATTTTATTTGATTCTATGTATTCTTTCTTTTTCTTTTTTGTGGGTCATGGGGCTTGAACTCTTCAGCTCAAGGCTAGGGCTGTACCACTTTTCCTACAGTGCAACTTCCGGTTTCTGGTAGTTAATTGGAGATCAGAGTCTCACAGACTTTTCTGCCCTGGATGGCTTTGAACTGCAAGCCTCAGATCTCAGCATCCTGAGTATCTAGGATTACCGTTGTGAGCCACCAGCACTTGGCTCTATGTACTATTTTCAAATGTCAAGATTATCTCCTTTCATTATTATTGCTAATACACTAATATTATCATAATTCTCCCCCATATCAAAATATCTTTGTGTCTACTGATAAGGAATCCAACTTACATTTAGCCACCCAACCTATTTTAAAATGTATGACTATTTATTAGGAAATCTCCCAATGATAAACACTCCACATTTTTAACACATTCCATAATCATTAGAAAATCCAATGTTGAAGGAAATTTTCCTAGTAGGGAAAAAAATGAAGGTTCACTCATTTCATCAATGCTCTAACATTATGAAAGACTTGCATCACGTGTATCATATCCTAAAGCGATTATGAAAAAGGGTCTTAAAATCAACTTGAAGGGCCCTGTTGGTACTGACTTTACTTTCACAATTATAAATACAGATGCAGTTGGTGCAAATGTATGCCTATGGGAGTTTCCCCCTTGTGACTTCTTATGTCCTTTAGTTTAAAATGTTTTCAGCGGACCATCCATAAAAGCTTCAATTGTTGAAGGTTCATGGGAGAGACTGGGTGCTTCCACACCAGTTTAATGTTCCATGATGAAAATTGCAAAAAAGGAACAAGAGCCAGCATGAATGACCAACTTGACATTCCAAAAATATTTTAAGAGCCTGGCAGAAATACCAATTGGAATTAGCATATGAAGTAACATATAACCTTTTACCTAAATTGAGGTAAAATTGTTGGAGTCAAATTTCCTAATAATACATAAATTTGAAGTTCTGTACCATTTCTGCTTGTTTGTTTTTTAAGAGTAACAATTTGAGGAGACACCAAATGTTAATTTGAAAGTCTACCAATATTATTCTGAAGGTTTTTAATGTAGTCTTCAATTTCCTCTCTTGTAGTGGAAGACAGTATTCTTAACAACTGACATCTTTCATGCGTGATAGTGCTAGTATATAGTTTGAAGAGTCAGTACCTCTCCAAATCCTTTTGGGCAGGGATATGACTATTCTGTGGACTTGACAAGACTTTTCTCTCAAGCATAATTTACATGATATAATTTTGCTTTGAAAAGACGAGTGACATTACTCCAATGACCTCAATGACAATGAATATTCATCTCTAGGAACAAAGAGACTGATGCCATTGACCAGATGAAAAAGCTCAGAGAATGAAGTGTTCACTTTAGAAACAAAGAGATTCACAAAACAACTGAGGTAGGTGCTCTTCTTCACCTCTTTCAACACAGATCTGTCTAGAAAATAATTTGTTTCTTGCCTTGTTTGTATCAAAAGGATGCAACTTTATGCAAATCAGTATGGTGTTGATAAGAAGTGATGATTCCAACAAAATCACTGTTTGCTTCTACCCCCACAGCGTCAGTATGGCTGCAATATTCTGACACTGTATAAAAGGAAGCAAGTAGAAGCTTAAGAATCACATTAAGTACTTCAATATTTCCTAGGAACTGAATACATCTACAAAAACCTAATATTGGTGGAATTATCTGAAAGCATGCTATTAGCACTTTTTATGGTAAAGATTTCCTATATTAAAAATACTGTATTTGCCCCTTTAGATGCTCAATATTGCTGTCACATTTTTTTAAACTTCCTGGAGACAGATGTACTGACCTTGGACAAAGAAGTCATGAAGAAGCATCAGAACACGCTTCCAAAGGCCAGTCACTTTCTGCGCCATGAAGATCCCTGCAAGTTGTAAAAAGTATATAATTCTATCATACATAAGATGTCACTGCTGAGATTGGGATATTGTATTATTATTGATACATTATGCACAATATAGAAATAAAATGTAGTATGGCATGTGGAGTTGAAAATAATCCCTATTAAGTTGAAGAGTAGGAAGCTTTTGGGATTCTGCTTGTTTATAAATGATGTTGCACAGTAAACTTGGTTGTCTAAATGGGTTTCAGATACAAGTTTGTATCTTCTAGCTTGGCATAAATTAATTAGCCTCTCCTATTTCATTATTTCTACCACAAAATTCAAGTAGGTGTCTATGACAATTTTATGAAAATTCAAAATATCTAAAATCTTGGTGAAAGTTTTGGGCACCAAATCTGCTTTAATGACACGATAAATTGTTAAAGGTATAGTGATGTGTTTCGTATCAGAGAAATTGATATGAAGGTGAGAAGTGTTGCTCAAGTTTTATAGTGCTTGTGCAGGAAGACCCAATATGTGAGCTTAATCCTCAGAACAGCTTAGACAGAGGAATATATAAATCAATAATTAGGTGAAACGTGTCATAAGTTTGCTATGACTTCTTAAATCAAAGTATACAACACCACAAAATTTTAAGAAGGCTTTCAAGGTTGTATTATATTCTGGATGACTTCAGATAAATTAGATTTCGGCTGTGTATTGTAGAACTCATCTTGATGTCATGGGAAAACAAAATGTCACAGAGTTTGTTTTCACAGGACTGTTTGAAAGTAAGAAAACAGAACTACTGCTCTTTTTCTTGTTCCTACTTTGCTACGTGGCAGTGTTAATGGGAAATGGCATCATCTTACTCACAATCTGCTGCAGCCATCTCCTGGAACAACCAATGTACTACTTCCTCTGCCACCTGTCCCTCATGGACCTCTGCTCTACTTCCGTTGTAGTTCCCCAGCTAATCAGGAACTTGGCTGCCACAAGAAAAGACATTTCCTACAACAACTGCATGACGCAGCTCTTTACTTACCACTGGATGGCAGGTGTGGAAATATTCATCTTGGTGGGCATGGCTTTTGATCGTTATGTGGCCATTGTCAAGCCGCTGCATTACATGATGATCATGAACCGGAAGAGGTGTCACATGCTGATCGCCATGGCTTGGGGACTTGGTTTTTGGCATTCTATTGCTCTACTGGCCCTAGGCCTCAGTTTGCCTTTCTGTGGTCCTAATGTAATTGACTACTACATGTGTGATATCAAGCCCCTTTTGAAACTAGCTTGCAATGATATCCATATTTCTAGTATCTTAGTGATTGCTAATTCGGGGACAGTAGCTCTTTCCATATTTTCTGTGCTCTTAGCTTCATATGTCCTCATTCTATATAACCTCAGGACAAGATCATCAGCAGGGCGTCGCAAAGCTCTCTCCACCTGTAGCTCTCACATGATGGTTGTATTTCTATTTTTTGTCCCCTGTTCTTATGTCTATATCCTACCTGCAGGTGCTAAAAATATGGATAAGGAAATCTCTGTGTTTTACACTGTGATTGCCCCCATGCTAAACCCTCTCATCTATACTCTGAGGAACAAGGAGATGAAAATTGCAATGGGGAAGGTCTGGGGACGAATGTCACATTCAAGATTAAAGTAAATAAGGAGTAAAATTTATTATGCACTCAGCTTGTGTTTCTAAGACATTTATAAAATAAAGGAATAAGTAAGAATTTTCTTTGGATTTTGGCTTATGTGCTATTGTTTTACTTTATGATTTTGAAGCAAGATTTCAATGTACAGAAAGATGTCTGGATATAAAACAGCTGACATCTTCAAGATAGAAAACAAGTAAATTTGAAGAATGTAAGACAATTTGCCCTAGTGCACATCCATCTGGCTCAGTGTTAAGAGTTGTTAAGGTGTCAAGGAAATACATTCAATCTGCAGTACCCTAGGTTGTGTGTGTGTGTGGTGGTGGGGACTAATAACTAATGAGGCACAATCTCTCCAATTACATTAAACTCAATTTCCTGAGTTAGACAATCAAGCCAATTCATTTGATAGAAATCCTTAAAGAAAATCTGTCCAGGTCTCAGTTGCTGATTTCATAGCTCACTGCTTTGCTGAAGATGTTGTATGATAATTAATGGCTTTGGAGTGTTGGAGATCAGAGCAACTATTGACTCCATCAGTTGCTTTGTCTTAATTGTGAAAGTTTGTTTTAATTTTGTGAGTTTATTTGTATAATATCTGTTAAACGAAGTATTACTGAGTTGTGGTATTTCTTTTTTTAAACCTTTTATTTTCCCTTTTCATCTTCCTTCCTTCCTTCGTTCCTTCCTTCGTTCCTTCGTTCCTTCCTTCCTTCCTTCCTTCGTTCCTTCATTCCTTCCTTTCTCTTTCTTTCTTTCCTTCTTTCTTTCTTCTTTCTTTCCTTTATTCATTTTTTATGAGACAGATTATTGGAATGACCCGAGTTATCATTCAACTCTAGATCATTTTGCCTCTTCTTCTTCAATGCTGACATTACTGGTGATCATGTCCAGGTAGATATATTTCTTAAAAATGGATGTTTGTTTTGGGAAACACATGAGACCTTTTAATAGAGAATAAGATGCAAGTGATGTGAATGTAAATTCTTGTATTTCGTTTTGCCAAGTCATTTCCTAATGTTTCTCACATGTTTGGGGCTTTATTCTTTCTTTCTCTCCCTGCTTCTGCAGTTCAGAATTCATGAGTTGCAGCCTTTCACAGACCTAATGGACTCATTTGTTTCCTCTTTTTATGTCACTGTTCCTCTGTGCCATTAATAATATACACACAGTAATTCTTGTGAACTATTCCTACCAGTTGACTGAGCCAGAAAATGTGTTGAATTGCTGCTTATTTTTATTTACTTTATTTGCTTCTTTCTTCTAGAAATGACTGTGATACAAATAAATTAATGAACAAATAAATCATTCTGATATACTCAAGGCATATTTTCTCTTTTTATTTGAATATATGTATCATTTTCAAATCTCTGGAATATATAATTTTATTTTTTATCAGATTAATATTAAAATAACATTCAGAAAACAACAACAATTAAAAATATCTGTTCCTATGGAAAGTGAAGGAATCCAACCTACACGTAACTTCCCAAAGTAACTTAAATCATTATTTTATGTAATAGGAAGTTTCTCTCCTCTAATTTTAGTTTTCATGCATATTTATAATTGACATAACCCAGTTCAGTGAACTTTTTCTTTTCAAAATTTAACTCAGTACTGTTGACAAACCTGTGATGACTTTTTCTCTTCAAGAATTACCCAAATCCCTTGGATATCATGACAAACATTTTGAATTTCAAAAGAAAATTAGTTCTTACACCTTATCTACTCAAACTTATTTAGATTGGCTAATGACACATTGTTTTCTACTGAGTACATGGAATTTTTATTTAAATGTGTAGATATAGCATATAGAGTATTGTGGTGTGTGTGTGTGTGTGTGTGTGTGTGTGTGTGTGTGTATGTGTGTAATGATATATTTAAGGCACATGGCCCTTGTGCGGTACTCTGATAGCTTAGGGAATACGTTATACCATCCTAAAAATATTAATGAAAAAAGAAACAGCCACCAAAATTTTTGTATCATTTTTTCTCACTTTGCAGGAATTTACATGGTTTAAGTTGGAAAATTAGCATGTTTGTTAGCATGTATGTTTAGTCCATATATGCAGTATAATTATCTACTAGATTATTACCTAAATTTCTACTTGATTACTGATTTTTTTAGCAATCAGTTGTAGATCATTTCCAATGTCTAGTGTCTGCAAAAATATCAATTGCATAAATAGAAAACCTGCATACTTTAAAAATTAGGTTTTGATTACACACAGAGCTCCCTTATGACCCAGAAATCCCACTTCTGGGCATTTACCCAAATGATCACAAACTAGGCCATACTTAACTACCAGCACAACTATGTTTATTTCAACATCATTCACCATAGCTAAAATATGGAACCAACCCAGATGCCTCCATCAGAAAGAATGACTTCGCCTCATTTGTTAGGAAATGGAGACTTGGAAAAAAAATCATAGTAAGTGAAGTAAGCCAGATCCAATGAAATATAGGTCCCATGATTTCCTTTATTTGCAATAATTAATAAATCTAGAATAATCTTATTAGATGAGCAGAAAAGCTCAAAACCATGTACTGTGACCATATAAGATGATGTTAAAGGAAATGAACCCCAAGGTATGGACACAAGAGGATTTTCTTGTTGTTGTTGTACTATGTGATATTTTGCTTCTTTTATATTTCTTCCCCCTATGATATATTCCCTGTTGTCACTGTATTTGATTTTGGTACCCTGCATCTTGTCTATACATTAATCTAAATTGGGAAGGGGAAGGGGAATAACAAAATTCTGAAAGAAGAACACAGGATGACCATTCCAACAACGATACTCACAAGACATTATGTTGGAAATGCACTTTACAATTTTGGGTTGGCAAGGAGTGGGGTAGGTGGAAGAGGGAAGGAATAGTAGGAGAAAAACAAGGAGGGGGTAACAACGTTCTACAAGAAATACACTCATAACCTCACTCATGTAACTGTAACCCCTTTATACAGCATCGTTATAATAAAATAAAATTTAAAAAATTAGACTTTGTATATAATTATATGTAAATATATTTATATATGAAGTTGTATATAATATATGGTATATATAAAACTTTTTATATAATATTTTATGTATAAATTTTATATATAAGACATATATACATAATATAATACATATATTGTGTATGCATAGGATATTATATATGTAAAGTATGTTTAAATAATATTGATAGGGGTTATTTCAAAATTATGCTTAGGTATATAAGAAGTTTCTAATTTATTTATCAGTCCTTACTAAACTTTATCATAGGACCTTGGACAAGCAAGAACAATAGAAAATATTTGCTAGTTTATATACCAAGAAATGACTAATAAAGAAAAATGGGTAAATCCTGTGACACATATAGAGAAAGTTCTATGAAGAACATAGATGTAAAAATTCTCAATATAATACTTGCAGTCCAACTCCAACACATACTACAGATATTAAAAGGATTAATTCTGTGTTTATTCTCTAGTACTGAAATTAGACTTGGAGCCTTGAGCTCTCACTCAGCTGCTCCACTCAGCACTGCTGCTCTACCACTTGAACCACACTTCCAGTTGCTGCATTTTGCTGGTTAATTAGAAATAGAGTCTCAAAGACTTGCCACTTCATAAGCATGATTAGAATTGCGAGCCACTGGCATCAAGCTGGAAAAGACATTATATTACAAGGAGTCAAAGAAAGTTTTATGTGTGCAAAACAATAAACATGATAAAGGTAATGCATAAACTGAACTAAGGCTGAAACATACACACAATCACCTCAATAACTGAGGGGTAACAAGTTTTGCCCTCTTTTTATGATTAAAATCTCAAAGGAATCTTGAATAAAAAGAACAGGCATTAATAATTCAACTGAAATGAAAAGAACACTTCATTTGTGTGTTCCATAGTGTTCCACAATAGTTTATTTATCTAATTATTTATATTGACTAGGAAAATAAGCATAAGGAAAACAGAAATGTAGCACATAATTTATTAGCTCAAAATTTAAAAATATAGTTCATGAGCAAAAAACGTAAGTGAGTTGCATAGGAATATGCCAAGAGAATAGCTGCACAGAGAAATCACTCTCTGAGAAAAGAGAAGCAATTTGAAATGTATGTGCTTAGTTGATGGGCATTGAAAACAGTCCTGAAGGAGACAGCAGTTACTGTGTGATAATCTGTAAGTCACAGACTCTGCTACACTGAAATGGGGACATCTCCTGTAAAGGACAGAACATGAAGAAAACCTCAGAGGATAGATGCAAAACTTCAGTGGGTATTTTTCTTTCTTGCTATTGTTTGTAATGTATTTATAAGGTGATTTCTTTGTTGCTTTGTATGTCCCTCCCCCTGTTTTCACTGTATTTGATGTTGGTATAATTTGAGGAGGGGAAGGGGAAAAAACAAATTGTTTAAATAGGGATACAGATACATTGCAACAATGAGATGTACAAGAGGCTATGATGAAAAAATCGAACCTTACAACTTGGGCAGGGGGATAAGGGGGTGCGAGGGGGAGGGGGTGGAGTAGTAGAGGTGGGAGGGCAGGGATGGTAGGGGAAAACAGAGGAGGAGGCAACAATGCTTGATAAGAAATGCACTCGTTACCTTGCTCATGTAATTGTAACCCCTCTGTATGGTATTTTCACAATAAAAAAATTAACACTTACAAAATACCTAGTCAAGCATGGTAGTATATAGCTATAATCTCCACATTCAGGAGAAAGAGGCAGCATGGTTTCATGTTGGAAGGTTAGCCTGGGTTCAAATTAAGAACCTGTTGCCAAAAAAAATTTTAAAAAAAGAAAGAAAAAGACAAGAAAAGAAAAATGCTACAGTGTTTTGTGATATCTCTACTACTTGCAGATACCTTAACATTGTGATGATCAGGAGATTAATAAAAATTCCCAAGAGCAGAGATAAATATTAATACTATATATGGCTGAAATCTCCTTGATCCAAAAGGCAATTACTTAACACTTTCATCCAGTGTGGTGAGTTCTCAAATCAGCCAAGGAGACCTGGATCCTTGTAAGAAGATTTATGATTGATGAGTGAGAAGCCTCATCTTCGAATGGAAGAGAGATTAATGTAATTGTTTTTAGGGAGAGTATATAACTGAAAATGTAACTTACTACTTTTTTGGTTTCTTTTGATACAGTGATTGATCTCAGGGCTTTCCATATTTCATCCATGCTGTCTACCACGGAACTAACTATAGCCTCCCTCAAGCAGAAGGATATGATTCAAACTGAAATGATTTGCAATTTTCCAAATTCAAAGAGTCACACTGGACTAGTTGAGCCTTTTGGCATACACATTCCAATCTAAATAGAAAATATCACACTTGGTGAGAGAACATGAGTTCATGGAGTCGAACTCCATGAAGTGGATAAGTGTCATAAGTGTCCTGGGACATATGTTTGAAAGAGTAAAGAAGGTTTTCTGTTTTACTTTAAAACTGAGTTTACTATTCTATACAATACCTTCTGCATGGCAATTTTCATCTCTGTGTTTCTCAGTGTGTAAATGAGAGGATTTAGCATGGGGGCAATCATAGTATAGAACACAGAGATTTGTTTGTCCTTATTTTCTCTATCTGCAGGGAGGCTGTAGGTATAAATGCAGGGCACAAAGAACAGAACTACAACTGTTATGTGAGAACTACAGGTGGAGAGAGCTTTGTGCCGCCCTGCAGAGGATCTTGTCCTGAGGTTATATAAAATGAGTATGTATGAAGTTAATAGCAAAATAAAAATCACAACAATAAGTGTTCCAGAGTTAGCGATGGCTAAGATACTAGCAATATGAATGTCTTTACAAACAAGTTTCAAAAGAGGCTTGACATCACACATATAGTGATCAATTACATTAGGACCACAGAAAGGCAAATTAAGTATCATAAGCAACAAGGCAAGAGAATGCCAAAATCCAAGACCCCAGGCCATGGCAATCAGCAAGTTACACCTCTTCCGGTTCATGATCACTGTGTAATGCAGCGGTTTGACAATGGCCACATAACGGTCAAAGGCCATGGACACCAAGATGAATATTTCCACACCTGCCAGCCAGTGCCCAGTGAAGAGCTGCGTCATGCAGTTGTTGTAGGAAATGTCTCTTCTGGTTGCAGCCAAGTCCCTGAGCAGTCGAGGAAGCATAGTGGAGGTGAAGCAGAGGTCCATGAGGGAAAGGTGGCAGAGAAAGTAGTACATTGGTTGTTCCAGGAGATGGCTGCAAGTGATTGTGAGTAAAATGACAAAGTTCCCCGTGATAACTGCCAGGTAACAAAACAAGACCAAAAAAAGGAACTGCAGCTCCAGTTGCTTATTTCCAAAAAGACCCGTGAAGTAAAATACAGTGACATTTTTCTGTTTTTCCATGAAGTCAAGCTGAGTCTTCAATACACAGAAGAAATGTCAGGCATCTAAAGTTATGCTGACTGTAATATACACTCAAAGGCTCACTTTATGTTTTCTAGAGATTTACAAATTGAAAAAGGTTTTATAGCTAATTGCTTACAGCAATAATCTCTTTTGCTCTAAAAATGTGTTCAAATATCTAGAGTATGCAAAGAGCTCAAAAAGGGGTGAACAAATGCAATCATGGTACTCACTAGACAATGTGTTGAAAATAAATTATACAACTTATGGGGGAGGAGGGTTAGGAGGGGAAAAACTGGGGGAGAAATGAGGGAAGACATGACACTGTTCAAAAAGAAATGTACTCATTACCTGACTTATGTAACCGTACCCCTCTGTATATCATCTTTAAGATAACATTAGAATATATAAATAAAATAATTTTTAATTTTAAAAAGAAAATAAACTCTCAAGCAGTAAAAAGTCCAATTGGCAAAAGAGCTAATTAACGACTTCAAAGAAGAAGTAAAAGTGACAAACGGACACTTGAACAAATATTAAACATCTCTGAACTGAAAGGTAATGCAAATCAAAACAACACGGAGATTCCATCTCAGCCCAGTTAGAATGGCCATCATCAAGAATGCAAACAACAACAGATACTGGCATGGATGTAGGCCAAAGGAATCCCAGCACACTGTTGGTAAGAATGCAAGCTTCTTCAGCCACTGTGGAAAGTAGTGTGGGCATTCTTCAAAAAACTAAACATGCTCTATGATTCAGCAATTCTTCTCTTGGGTATTTATCTAAAGATTACAAATCAGGATACAGTAAAGCTACGTTCACAGCCATGGTTTGTTTATTTTTTATTTTTTTTATTGTAAAGATACTGTACAGAGAGGTTAAAGTTAAATGAGTAAGGTAATAAGTACATTCCCTCTTGAGTATTGTTACCCCTTCCTTTGTTTTCTCCCTACTATCCCTTCCCTCCCCACCTTCACAATTTCTTCCCCGCCCCAAGTTGTAAAGTTTATTTTCAATATAGTGTCTTGTACATCTCATTTTTACAATGGGTCAACCTGTATCTTTGTCTTACCATTTTGTTTTTTCCCTTCCCCTCCCCAAATTAGAATACAAGATGCAGGGCACTGACATCAAATACAGTGAAAATGGGTTATACAATGGGGGAAGAATATGCAAAAGAAATAAAAAAAATCACATAGTACATTAGAAACAACAGGGACAAAGAAAAAACCTTTTATGTCCCTATTTTGAGGTTCATGGGTTGTTCTTTTCAAGTTACCTTTAAATAGTCCTACAAATGGGCTGTGATTTAACTAAGCAGTTTATGAATGGAGTGCATCTTGATCAATATCACTGTTTTTCAACACTCTGGTCCATCCCTCCTGACCTACCACTTCCTTCATTCTTCTTAATTTTGTAGGATATACATTGAATTCTTACTGTATTCTCCTCCTCTTCTCTTCTTCCTTCATCAAGCCCTCTCTGCTCAACCTCACCTCTTACAAATGCCCATTTCCTGGTTCTCATTTTGTACAACTGTGTTTATTGCTGCACTATGCACCATTACTAAAGCATAAAATCAGCCCAGATGTCCCTTGATCCTTCTTGAAAGGATCAAGAAAATGTGATATATGTTATATAATATACATATATGAAGAATATTATTTTATCATTTACAAAGAAATAGATGGACTCTGGGGAGACGTTAATGAAGTCAGTCAGGACCAGAGACCCAAAGATGCATGCTTTTTCTCCTATATGCACACTGACCTAGCTTGTAAATGTACAAGTAAACACACATGGGGTTGTATGCAAGTATAAATGAATGTATCAACCAAAGTATGGTATTTACAGGGGAGAATTCAAATGGCGTAATTACTTAGAAAAACAAACTCACGGTCCAAAAAATGAATACCAGGAAATTGTCACTTAAAGGTGTGTAGAGTTTGAGGAGAGAGGGCAGACAAAAGAAGAGAGGAAGGTGGGGAGAATACAGTCGTAATATTCAATGTGTCTCCTATGTTATGAAGAAAACTGAGGGGAGGGGATGATTGGAAAGGGAGTAAGGAGAATGATGCATTGGGCTTATAAACTGACTCTTGAATGATTGTTTCTTTCTACAACTACTGAGAGATCATAAAGTACAATTTTAAAAAGGCACATTTCCCTTCATAATATTTAGTGAAAACATGTTTTATATACAAAACTTTTATAAGTATTTTATCATCACTATACTCATAGAAATCTAATAGGCATTATTCTTACATTAATGCATACAAAGGCAGAAAAATAGTTAAGGGTAAGTTAAATACAAGACTTTAAGATATTATGGATGCTTGGCACCTTTGAGTCATGCCCATAATCCTAGACACTCAGGAGGCTGAGATATGAGGATCATAGTTCAAAGACAGCCCAGGCAGGAGCATCCATGAAATGCTTATCTCCAATTAACCACCAAAAAGCCAGAAGTGCAGCTGTGCCTCAAATAGTAGAGAGCTAGCGTTTTGCACAAAAAAGCTCAGGGACAGTTCCCAGGCCCTGAGTTCAAGCCTCTGGAATGTCAACCCCCCGAAAAGATTATGGAGAACATCTAAGATCTGAGTGTATATACAACCTGTTGCTCCTAATGCCATGCAATGTTATCCAAACTCAAGTAGAATTCCACCTGCAAAGGGGTGGGTCGAAGGGGAATGAGGTTGCTTAACGGGGTGACACAGATCAAAATGCATTGAATTCAGATGATGTTTTAGATGACACCTTCCTTATAAAATGAAAGATAATTATAAAAAAATCCAACTATTTTTCATTCTTGCGAATAAGATTTGATGTTGGTATAATTTGTGGAAGGGAAGGGAAAAAAAACAAATTGTTTAAATAGGAAAACAGTTGGACCTATTGCAACAATGAGATGAACAAGACGTTATGTAGAAAAACGAACTTTACAACTTTGGCGAGGGGGTGGGGAGTGGTTGGGGGTGGAGGTGGGTGCTAGCAGAGGATGCAGGGGGGTATGGGGGGCACGGGAGATGGGAAGGGATGGGAAAGGGAAACAAAGGAGGAGGCAACAATGCTTGATAAGAAATGTGCTCATTACCTTGCCCATGTATCTGTAACCCCTCTATACGATATTTTTCACAACAACAACAACAACAACAAGACTTTTCTTGCACTTCATAACCTATGTTACTTACTAACATATTGAATGTTAAGGAATTCTGTCTCTTCAATTTTAAATAATTTATCTCTGAAATCAGTGGAAATAACATTTATTTTCTCCAGGCATTGGTAGCTCAAGCCTGTAATCCTATCTACTCAGGAGGCTGAAATCTGAGGATTGAGGTTCAAAGCCAGCCTGTGCAAGAAAGTCCATGAAAGTCTGATCTCCAATAAGCCACCAGAAAACCAGAAATGACACTGTGGCTCAAGTGTTAAGAGCACTAGACTTGAGCTAAAGAGCTAAAGGACAGCTGAAGAGCTGAAAGACACTGCCTAGGCCCAGAGTTCAAGCCACACTACCAATAATATATATATATATATATATATATATATATATATATATATATATTCCCCCCAAAATGGCATAATTGTTAATCATAACATAAAACTAACCTAGATTATTTAATTAAACTTTCAGTGCTTCTCTGAGGCTAGCATGGTCAAGTCCATACCTTGGAGAAGATGGAAATATGGCATTTGAAGAACCTAAGCACTTAAATTGAAATAGAAGAACACAACTTTCCATTACATGAATTTTATTTGATTTCTGTAAATTTCAAAATGCTGTTTGAGAGATAATGCCTGGCATATTAGAAACCTTTCAGAGGTATTCATTGTTCTGGTGACACATTGGAGGATTTGCTACAATTCTTATCTAGTGATATGTTTATTTCATCACATATTCAGAGTGCTGAAGTCATTCTGATGCTGGGAAGCTGAACGTAATTATATTTAAATAATCACCTTTTACCAATTCCTAAATGCACAAGCAGTGAAAAAAATGTATGTTTCATACTAAATGGTAATTTTCAACGAATTTATGTTCTTTCAGTAGATCTAGTCAGGAAACAATAAAATGTCCTAGACAAATCCTTGTCTAAGGATTAGGAAGAACCCCAACGCTCTCAACACCTATTTGTTATAGAGCTGAACACCTCATTTCTCTGTGCTGCTTCTTCAACTGGCAAAAGCAGTGCTGCTCATCTACTGCCCTCACTTATCCAAAAGAAAAATGAATTCATAGGAATTAATTTTTTTTACTATTCAGAGAATGGCCCTATTCCCTTAAAATGTTTTGTCAAGGTGCAAACTCTTCCAAACATATACCAGCCTCTTACCTTCTTCAGGCTCTGTGGATCTGTGTTCCTTCACAAGGGGATGGATTGGAGAACTCATATTAAACATGCATTCAGTACACAGAAAAATTAGGTTATTAGTGCATATTTGCTCCCAGTGGAAACTTCGGTGGATGAATCTGTGAGATGAAGAAGAAGTATTTGAAGAAAAACTTCTCATTAAAATTGTAGAGTAGAACTGTAAGACAACTAGAATAACAATAGTGTAGACATTGTAATTCCTAGCTCAAAATAGTTCTACCATATTGGTGCAAGACTCAGCATATATTCGACTCTCTTTTACTTCCAGTGATTAAATTTGGTCTAAGGAAACACAGAACCTTATGAAAAAAGGACTTCAAGGCTGTTTCCATATCCCCTTGGTATCCTTTGAGATAATCCATGTCTCATTTCTTTCTTAGTTTAATTTTTCTTACAGTTCTTTTTCTTCCCTCTACCAATCCCATCGGAATATATTCCTTGGTACAGGAGTATTCAATTGTGAACAACATTCCTTTGCCATTTTATTACATACCATTCACATTGTTTCTGTTATTTAAGTTCTTCCACAAAGATCTCTGTGAAAAATCATTTCTAAAGATACTTCATCTGCAATTAGTAATGATAAAAAGAAAAGGAAAAAACATTGAATTACATTTCTTTGAA